TCATGCATTCAGGAAATAAAAAAAGAGTTCCTAGACTTAGATGTCAATGAGGCTGTTTTGATGCAGAGAAACATCCCTGTTTTTCAATTTTATGTTTAAAATAAGAATGTAATTTTGAGCAGCACTGGTTAATAATGGTTTTGCTTGCAGGAGGGTTCTAAACGATCTGGTGTCTCCAGAGAAGTCAGTAAATTAGTCACAGCCTGGAACGTAAAATCTAATTATACAAATCCCTTCCAATTTTCTCTTTGAATTTAATCATTCGCCTTTATACTCAATATGTCAAAATCTGTCAGTAGAATCTGTACTTTTCATGTATTTTATTGTTCTAAAAAAGAAATTTATACAAATATCACAAAATCTAAAAAGGTTGAAATATTGTGCATTGCGTTACTGTCACAATTAATAAAAATATATGTGTTACTAGGCAGCATGTATCTAGGTAAAAGGGAAAGAATGTTTTTTTTTGTTCTATACATGGTTTAAAATATGACCAAATCATTTACTTCAATGCAGCCATTTTCATGGTCACAGGGCAGCCACAACCTATCCTGGTAAGAAACAGACACAAGGTAGAATACACTCTGGATGAGCCACCAGTCCATCACAGGGTACACAGAGACACACACACATACAGAGACAATTTTCCAGAAGCCAGTTAATCTACCTGTATGCCTCTTGACTGTGGGAGGAAATCAGAGGACCTGGAGGAAATCCATCCAAACATGGGCAGAACATACAGACTCCACACAATTAGCACACCAGAATTGAACTCAGAGACCCAGCACTGCAAGGCAGCAATGGTAACCACTGAATCACTGTGCCGCCCATTGCTTTAAGATGCTTTGTACAAATGTTCTTCAGCTGTTTCAAACTAAATGCAACCATTGTGCATTTAATGGCAACAGATGACTTGGGTTCTTTCATCTTTGTGCAGGGACTAATATATTTCCAGGTGGTACATCTTGGTCTACTGCATGAAAAAAAAGAAAAATGCCTTCTAAAAGCCTCCCAGAAAGATAAATCTCACTGTGGATCAAGTATTCCTTTAGATTTTTGTTGTGAAGATGTGAAATCTAGTGTTTCTATTATGAGTGAGAATATTAATTAGCTCTTTGTGAAATCACAGTACTACTGGAGATGAAACACATTTTACAGACCGTCTTATAAATTATTCTGACTTAAAGTTCAAGTTAGCCAGAGTTACTTTCGCCCAGAGAATCCTGTAACTTATTAAATTCTCCACATTCAAAACACATAGCAGTTAAAAGTCCTGTTTGTTCCCGTAGATATCTAAGCATCTGAGCATTTTAATATTTATTTTTCTTTTCAGTTTTTCAGTTTATGTACACACATAGACATAGACCCACAGAGCTTGCATATGTGTGTTTCTCTGTGAGTGAGCCTGGCTCTGCTCTCTGTGTGACCTCAGTGAATACCACATGAGTGTGATTGTCATTATAGACGTTCCTGAACCTCCTGGCAAATTCAGCAGAATCTCCTTTTGGCATTCCAGCTGACTTATTGTTTTTTCTGCTTTTAACCTTCTTATCTAAGGCGTGCTTAGCATTATCTCAGCAATATGTCCTGCTCTGTCCATAAGACTTATTGTGAAGCTGTACTTTACAGATATATGTGCATACAAATTTTAAGTGCATACAATCTTGTCAAGGTTGAAAACCTTTTTCCTTACTCCATTTTCTGGATGTTTAATTTTTTCCAGCGCTTGATGATTTATGTGGGAGAATATTGTATGGTTGAAAAGTAAGGCAGCAGAACGCAATCTTCTGGACCCTAACACAACATCGTTGACTTTATCAGGTGAAAGGTGGAAGCACGCCTGGACAGTGTTTTCAAACACATATATCTGCGAATAAACAAATTCCACAGCTTAAGAGGGTTGTGACCATCACAGGTGTCTTCAAACACAGCCATGGCAATTGCAGTGGTTGAGAAGATGCATTTCCTTTATTATCTCACAGGGGCCCTGGTTTGTATGTGTATATCTTATTGTACAGTAAATGAATCCTTAAAAAAATGACCATGAGAGAGCACTTTCTTGCACATTTTTGCCACCCTATCTATGAGCCAAATAAAACCCCTATATTTGCTTGAAAACGAGTGACAGAAGAAGTGCTTTGTTTGGCTGCACCCCAACATGTCAATTCCCAATAAAACACATTCAATATCCCTTTCCCAAGTCTCTACTGTAAAAGTTGTGCTTTTTAACACAGATAATCGGCTACATTAATATTGCTGCAGCTGGTCATTATTTTATTCCCCATGAAATTCTGAACAGATACAATATGGACAGGCTACAGTATACAATGGGAATACTTTTGCAGTCCCACACGTTGTAGATGAAAAGCGTTATGTATCAATCAATTAAATTTCTGACAGGCATCTGGTTCTGCTTGGCACAAAGCAAGAGTACATGTTCATACTGACATGCAAACATACAGTTTTGTCATGTTCCTTCACCATTAAAGTTGAATAGCCTTCTGTAAACTTTGAGATTCTTTATGCTTTAACATGAAATTTTCCTTATTAGAAGCACAGAACATTAACACAATGTGCAAAACCCATTAAAGAAAATATTCCATCAATTCAAACACTTGGGAACACACTTGCAATGTTTTAAGTCAGAAACTATGTTTTTGATTATTTTTTATCTCTGCCCTTTAAGGATTTTTCTTCAGCTTTCTATGAAAAACCATGTTCCGTTCTGGTAATCCACCCATTATTTCTGCAGGAAAGGTGTCCTGTCAAAAATATTTCAGATCTAGGCAATTCCCAGTGTGTAATGAAGCAGTATTAATAAATTGTTACTTCCCAGTTCAGAACGGTGATTAGTCAAACATTGTCTTCTGTCCAAAGTGCAGCAGTGCTCTTCTGCTGACAGTTAGACACTGGGAATTGACTGATTCACTCACAGGATTGAAGGTCCCAGGTGAAATACAGCTGATCCTTGTCCAACCTGGAGGGTATTTTCTTCCAAAGCTGCTCCCCACTGATAGCTGATGTGTGGTGAGCGTTCTGGCGCACTATGGCTGCCGTCGCATCATCCAGGTGGGGCTGCACATTGGTGGTGGTGGTGGAGGGGAGTCCCCATTTCCTGTAAAGCGCTTTGAGTGGAGTGTCCAGAAAAGCGCTTTATAAGTGTAACCAATTATTATTATTATTATATTACACACAAATGAACGACCTTACATATCCTGAACTCTGAAAAATATAATAAAAATGTTTAAAACATATATTGCACAATGAAAGCATAAACACTACATATAGTAAATAAATAATATGACAAAACGTGCCTTTGAAGGGCGTGTGGTGGAGCAGTGGTTTGGATTGCTCCCTCTCAGCGTTGAGGTCCTGGCTTCACTTCCTGGGGTGCTATCTGCATGGAGTTTGTATATTCTCTCTGTGTTTGCGTGGGTTTCCTCCAGGTGCCCCAGTTTCCTCTCACAATCCAAAGACATACTGGCAGATTAATTGGCTTCTGCTAAAACTGGCCCTGTTCGAAGCGTGTGCCCTGTCCAGGGTGTATCCTGCCTTGCGCCCATTGCTTGCTGGGATAGGTTCCGGCTACCTTGCGACACTGTGTTGGATAAAGCAGTTAGAAAATGGAAGGATGGATGGACTTACCTGTGAATGGTCATTATGAAGGGTTCTAATA